AAGCAAATTCAGGCACTAGCCTATTGACCATTTTCACAGCTGGAAGGCATAACTTGGACTGTACTGTGATGATGTTCACCTATTCTACTGTAAACACCAAATAGTGTTAAAGTTGAAAAAGAAATGTTTTCACTGGGAGGCTGTGATGACGAATTGGCAACTGTAAGATTAGCTATGGTTTCACTTGAGACCAGAGTGGTGTCGTGGGACTCGGGAAGTGTTGTAATGTGTGCACACTACACATGTGCATGGTAGTGTATCGCTCTCTATTTTTAAATTGTAATCCTTTTAACAATCCCCATTTTTACTAAATGTAATTATAATGACATTATGTATTTTTTTCTGTAACTGAAATGGACCTTATTTTATATCCTCATTATGTAATCTGTTACTCTCTAAACCTGTCAACAGACAACTGGGTCTTTAATTAGATCAAGTTATTGATGAAGATGAATTTTGAATCCGATAAATAATAGAGTTCTCATAATGTTTTTCATTAGATGGGTTTGATGGGCCCAGGGCAGCAGGCTCCACCACCGTACCCGGGACATGGTCAGATGGGACAACCTGCGCTCCAGCAGCCCTCCACCCCGGTGTTTGTGTCTCCACCGGCCAAGTCTCAGCGGCTGCTCCACTCCGAGGCGTACCTCAGATACATTGAGGGCCTTACTGCAGAGTCCTCTACCATTAGCAAGTGGGACCAAACTCTCTCAGGTTAATCTTGTTTTCTGACTTCCTTTGATTAAATCTACATAAAATGACGATCACACTGCCTGACATAGCTTGGGAAATATGTATTTCTGAATCCGGCTTGTTTAACTTAACAAATAATTTTAACGTCTTGTTTGTGCACTTTCAGTTCAAAAACAAGATGTGCGCCTGACAAAAGAGCAGGAGAGCAGACTGCCATCCCACTGGCTGAAGAGTAAGGGGGCCCACAAGACAATGGCAGATGCACTTTGGCGAATCCGTGACTTGATGCTGCGAGACACCCTAAACGTCTGTCAGACGCACAACCTGTAGCATGCTTGTATTCTGAGCCTCTGTTCCCTCTTTACCTGTGAGACAGGAAGAGGATTAAGCTCACTAAAAGTGTTCACTTTGTGTTGTCATTTAAAAAATGTGTTTGTAGCCATGAAAGCTTTCTGTGTTGAAGCTGTTTTTTTGTTTTACATTTCAAATATGCTGTTCTAAGTGCATTATTGTTATTGACTGTCTTTCTGTGATGACTGCCTTCATGCTTTCACAAATAAAATGTGACGAGTTCAGCTTGTCTGTGATTCCTTTACTCAGTAGGACCTACAATCATGCATCACTGTAACTGTACAATGGCTGTGATTTGAAAAGGATCACATGAGTTTAAATTTAAACATCTTTTAAAAGCCACAAATTAAAATAGAAAATAGATATCAAGTATATGTATAGCATATTCATGTAGAGGAGGTTATTTGAAGACAGACTGATTAATGTAAACAGTTGTCTTGGTGATTCGATAAGAGACCTAGGAAGGGGCGTGTCTTACAGCATTCGTGTGACCACTGCGCCTGCGCAGTACACAGACCGCGCAGTTCCTTTTGCTCCAGACGTTTGAAAGCTGGCACGGTGAGCACGTCATCCCCTCCTGATTGACATCCACTGTAACGGTAAGACGTCCCAATGCTTCAACACGTACGATATTGAGGAATACGGTATTCAAACGTGTAAATTGGATCATAGTCCAATATCTTGCGAGTCAATGTGTAGTGTTCGGGAATTGGCTAACTTTAGGGTTAGCACTAAACACATTAGCAAGCTAACGCTAACATTAGCAGGCTGACTTGGAGGGACCGGCTGCTGGATCAGTCTATTCACTGGAACTGAGAGGTTGCTGTCCACGTCGCTTCACCTAATATTGTGCGTTCAGTTGTTAATGCGGGACAGTGGAGCAATGGATAGCTTCTGATGAATATAACTTAATAGAAGATCAAGTTCATGCGGTATCCCCACCACCATGTGAACTTGCAGATGGCTAGACAACCTTCCCACTGCTAGCATAGACACTACACTGCATAAACCGATCTGGAGTCAGCGGGGCCAACTGAGCTAGTGCCAGGTTGAGGCAATGTAGCCAGTCCGGCTAGGTTAGCTGCTAGCGAGCTAACGTCAACGGCAGACTGACTGTGTGAAAACTTAATGCTGGTATTAAGACTTGCTTTGACTTGTTAGATGGAGCAGTGCAACTCCAATACGTTGTAGTTACAACACGGATTATTTCTGCAACTATACACGGAGCACACATTAGGGAACTTGTCATGCAGTGTGATCTTACATACACACGTTTTAATAACGCGTGATTAAAATGTGTGTACAGGATTACTCAGCATCCATATTTAGTAAGGAAATTGTTCAATCAAGCATTCATTGTTTTCTTGCCCTCAGTTACGAGCATGGAACTGAATGATGGTAACCTACAAACCCTCACCGAGTTCCTCAGGAAAACACTGGACCCAGACCCATCAGTCAGACGTCCAGGTAATACAACTAGATAACATAGCATTAACTTACATATCTTAATACAATTTCGAAAGAATATTGTTCTTATTGACCTATTTATGATAAGTATTCACTTGATTGTGTAATCTCCCCTTTTTAACACCTGCTTGCTATTCATCTTTTCTTTCTTTTGTAGCTGAAAAGTTTCTTGAATCTGTGGAGGGAAACCAGAACTACCCCTTATTACTACTCACTTTACTAGAGAAGTCCCAAGACAACGTGATTCGCGTCTGTGCTGCTGTTACATTCAAGAACTACATTAAAAGAAACTGGCGCATTGTGAGTCTCACCGAGTAACTGCAAGTTTACATGTTATTGACTCTACTCAGACCTAGTTTGTTGTATGTAGTTATGTTTTACTGTATGAGGAATACTATATATAAAGATTTTTAAAGATATAATATATAAATAAATTAAAAACATAGTTGACCGTTGTCGTATTAGTCTTTTTGACCTGTGCATTGAGTTGACTATCCTGCTTTTGTGGTGTGTTTTCCCAAAGGTTGAAGATGAACCAAACAAAGTCTCTGATCCCGACCGAACAGCGATCAAAGCAAACATAGTCAATTTGATGCTAAGCAGCCCAGAACAGATTCAGAAACAGGTACATCTACATCACATGTCACAGTGCCTTAATGCGTCTGAATTTGAAGGTGTGAAGGAAGATGCTCAACCAAGCCCCTGTCTGCTTTTTATGCATTTCCAGTTGAGTGATGCCATCAGTATCATAGGAAGGGAAGACTTCCCTCAAAAATGGCCTGACCTGCTAACCGAGATGGTGACACGCTTCAGAAGTGGAGACTTCCATATCATCAATGGAGTGCTTCGTACTGCACATTCCCTCTTCAAGAGGTAAAGCTCACTTCTAAATGGTTTTAAATGTTTTTTTTTTATGATTGACTTCAAACAGATATTGTCAAATCTTTTCTGTCCCCTCTTGTTTTCTTTAAGGTACCGCCATGAGTTCAAGTCAAATGAGCTTTGGTCAGAGATCAAACTAGTACTGGACACATTTGCCCTGCCTCTTACAGAGCTGTTCAAGGTTTGTAACGGCTTGCAGTTCAGTTACCACAACACTATATAAAATCTAACAAATATTGAAATGTTTAGTTAAGATGGTATTCCAATATGAAGAAGTATTTATATTTCATTTTCTTTTACGCTGTAGGCCACTATTGAGTTGTGTCAGACTCATGCTACGGACATCAATGCCTTGAAGGTCCTCTTCTCTTCACTCACGCTCATCTCCAAGCTGTTCTACAGTCTTAACTTCCAGGTCAGTTCAGTTTGTTTTGTACTCAAGGCTTTGCTGTTTTGAAACTGCGTTGTCTTGTTCGTAGCCAAGGTAATAATGTTTCCCCAAACAACAATAGCACATCACAATTCAGACCTTTTTGTGAGCCGTTTTTCCATTTTGGTGGCATTTATTGGTGTGGACAGCTTTGAAGTTACTCTCAAGATCACTGTTGCCCCTAAAGGATTAACGTGAAGTAGCTGTTTTTGTCTTTCTTGATGATCAGAGAAGTCTCGTATTAAAAGCTGAAAATAAATTGCTTGCTTTAATTTTGTGTTATTCTAAATTGTAAATAATGCAGTCAAATAGTTCATCTTTAAAACATTGCAATAAATTTGTAATTATTGAAAGGCAATCACGCACTGCCACGACCACTGAAGTGTATGATGAATTTTCACCAAGAAGTCGTCACGTCAGCTTCTGTTTTATATTTATACACACGTTCAAGGATGTGAACCATTTTCCTTCAACCGTTCTCTGTATCATTACACAGGACCTCCCAGAGTTTTTTGAAGACAACATGGAAACCTGGATGACCAATTTCCACGGCCTTCTGACTTTGGATAATAAACTTTTACAAACAGATGTGAGTTTCCTCCTTTTTCTTTACTCATACAATACTCGTCAATACATTTTCAACACTGCCGTGCTATAAAATGGTTGTTAACGTTTGTTTGTTTTGCGCCTCTCATGACAACTCTGTAGGATGAGGAGGAAGCCGGTCTCCTGGAGCTGCTGAAGTCTCAGATATGTGACAACGCTGCCCTTTATGCTCAGAAGTACGATGAAGAATTCCAGCCGTATCTGCCGCGCTTCGTCACTGCTATCTGGAACCTTTTAGTTTCTACTGGCCAAGAAGTCAAATATGACCTGGTGAGAGAACTGATCCCTCACTGCGTTTCTGTGTTCTTCTTGAAGTTCACTTTCCCCCGTACTAACTATGCACCTCGTCTTTGTTGCAGTTGGTAAGCAATGCTATCCAGTTCTTGGCATCAGTCTGCGAAAGGCCACACTACAAGCATCTATTTGAGGACCAGAATACCCTCACTAGCATTTGTGAGAAGGTCATTGTACCCAACATGGAGTTCAGAAGTAAGTAAATTCATTTTTCCCAGAGTCACTGGATTGCATTTAGAAATGTTATCAGTAGTTGGACAGAAACATGTACTTGTATACTGTATGATACTGATCAGATTGTCTGTAATGCCTAATTAGGTGCGGATGAAGAGGCCTTTGAAGACAATTCTGAGGAATACATCCGAAGGGACCTTGAAGGATCTGGTAAATATTTTGATTATTGATTATCGCCTCCCCTAATGTTGTTATTTTTTCAATTATATGAAAAAATATGTAGTTTCTCCTCACATTTTGTGTTTGACTGTTGTTTTGGGAAGTGTCTCTTCTGGCATAGAAGTCAAACTCTATATGCATAATTATTTAGTTAGTTATAATATTTACATCCAAAGCTTCAGTCGAAGGTTTCCACACGCAAGTTAACAAAAGCGTGCCCGTGATAACCATGTCTCCAACACTTTCCCCATTCTTCCTCAGACATTGACACTCGTCGTAGAGCGGCATGTGACTTGGTGAGAGGCCTTTGCAAGTTTTTCGAAGGCCCAGTTACAGCAATTTTCTCAGGCTATGTGAACTCAATGCTGTCAGAGTATGCCAAGAACCCCGGGGAGAACTGGAAACACAAAGACGCCGCCATCTATTTGGTCACATCACTGGCGTCTAAAGCGCAGACACAGAAGGTATTGTTGACTTTAATTTACAGGGTTGTTGAACATACAACTGCTAATAAAACAAGCTCTTACTTCATGAACTGTGTTTGATATAAATAGAATAATTTGCTCAGTCTTTACATTGCTGTCTTTTTTTCACCAGCATGGAATAACACAAGCCAATGAGTTGGTGAACCTGAATGAATTCTTTGTGAACCACATTCTCTCAGACTTAAAATCCCCCAATGGTAAGAATACATGCTAAGAAGACATTTTCAGTATGCCATTGTTACAACAACTGGCTCACTAGAGGTTTGGCTTGTGCATACATATCCATTAACAATCAAGCATTCATTGTCATTGTAGTTAATGAGTTCCCAGTTCTGAAGGCAGACGCCATCAAGTACGTCATGATCTTCAGAAGCCAGGTACGAACTGTTACTTTCTCCATAACTTGTTGAATTTCAAAAGGCAAAATGAGTGCATTACAGAGGACTTCTTCTCTCTCTCTTTCCTCCAGCTTCCTAAAGAGCATCTGCTACAGGCAGTTCCTCTACTAATTAGTCACCTGCAGGCAGAGAGCACAGTGGAGCATACGTATGCTGCCCATGCTTTGGAGAGGCTGTTCACTATGAGAGGCCCCAACAACACGACACTGTAAGTATCAACAGTAAATTGATATTTTAATTAATTGAATTAATTTTCCACATAGCAAATGAGCAGTAAATGTACAGTGTATTATTGAAATATTCAATTGAGTTGTGATTTATGCTTTTTTGATCCTTAGAATACAAATCAAATCTTCACCCAGTGCAGTTTAGAAGAAGGCAAACGTCTCCATATTCAAGAACAATTCATAGTTGAAATAGATTTGGATTGATGCACCACATTAGATGAAAGCTTAGATTTATTAGTATGTGTGGAGTAATTGCCCATACTTAATATTGGGCAGATCACATATTATATATTAATTTGACTTTTCTCCAGGGATCAGTTGTATACTACATTCACCCACAGCACTGCACTAATAGCAGTCCTGTTTGTTTCACAAAAAGTTTTATAGACAACTGGGATGAAACAACGAGGCCAAATGCAGAAATCGGCACCAGCTTTTCGATTCATCTGTATATCTACTAAGCAATCATCCTCCATTTTTTTTCAGTATCACTCCTGCAGAGATGGCACCTTTTACTGAACAGCTGCTCAACCACTTGTTCAAGGCCCTGGCTCTTCCTGGTTCTGCAGAAAATGAATACATCATGAAAGGTAAAACTGACTCTCCTCTGTTGTCTAAATGCACCCCGTTAATGTTCCCCAGTCAGTGTCAGACCAACTCCAGATTTATTTTAAGTAGCCTCATAATGTCTTTCTTTTCTTTCTTTCTTTTAATTTTTAAAGCCATCATGCGCAGCTTCTCCCTGCTGCAGGAGGCCATTGTTCCCTACATTCCCACTCTGATTGGTCAGCTCACTCATAAGCTTCTCTTAGTCAGCAAGGTAACATACACTTTGTTACTATTTATGGATACAGATAGATTCACCAACATGGTTTGTTCAGGCGATGCACATGTCAACTAATCCAAAATCTGCCACCCATTTTCAGAATCCGAGCAAGCCTCACTTTAACCACTACTTGTTTGAGTCCCTGTGCCTGTCTGTCCGCATCACCTGCAAGGCCAACCCCACCACTGTCAGCAGCTTTGAGGAAGCACTGTTCCCCGTCTTCACCGAGATCCTTCAGAGCGATGTACAGGGTGTGTCAATTAACTATGGAACTGAGTTATCTACATGTAGATGATATGCTGATAAACACAGCCTGTGGCTGGTTAAGGCAGCTCCACTCATGCTTCCTTTGTCTGCTGTCGCAGAGTTTCTTCCGTACGTGTTCCAGGTGATGTCTCTCCTCCTGGAGATCCACTCCAACTCCATTCCCTCTTCCTACATGGCTTTATTCCCTCACCTACTGCAGCCTGCGCTATGGGAACGGACAGGAAATATCCCCCCGCTGGTGCGCCTGCTTCAGGCTTACCTGGAAAAGGGAAGTGCCACTATTGCTGGCTCTGCTGCAGATAAAATAGTGAGTTGATAACTCTGATTGTATCTCTATTTGTTTTTTTTTCTTAACATTTATACATTGCATCATTTATTCATTGTGTGACCAGTATGTTGACATATTTTGTGGCTCTTTCTTTTTCAGCCTGGCTTGCTTGGAGTTTTCCAAAAGCTGATTGCCTCTAAGGCCAATGATCACCAAGGTTTTTACCTTCTCAACAGCATCATAGAGCACATGCCCCCGTAAGTTGATTACAGTTGTGGTCTCAGTGTAAAATGTATCCATAAAATGTAGTACTAGCTAGAGCTGCATGATGTATACAAACTTCATTTTGCGATTATTTTGCCAGGTATTGTGATTGCCATATGAGTCACAGTTAGTGTGAGAATGATCATTTTTGTGTTGCATCACATTTAATTTTCAACAAACTGTAAAATCAAGATGTGATTTTTTTTGGGGGGGGGGGGCTGTACCAAACAAACCTGTTACATCTGGAGAACAAGAGCACTACAGTACTTTATTATAATTAATAACTAATATAAATAAATAAATTACAGCTGCTGTGATTTCCATTTTTTTTTTTCCATTGCGATTTCGCTAATATTTTGATTAATTCTGCAGCCCTAGTACCAGGAGAAATTGACCTCAAGTCATGTTTTGGTCATGACTTGTTTCTTTTTCTTTGTTTTACCAGAGAATCTATCATTCAGTACCGGAAACAGATCTTCATTTTGCTCTTCCAGAGGCTACAAAGCTCCAAAACCACCAAGTTCATCAAGAGTTAGTACAATCATCTCATTACCAAAATTGATGATCTGTTCATAGTTCATAGTGTATTATCACCAGTTCTATCATTCCCTACTGCCTTATAATACGGAGCTTTAAGTGTTAAAGTTTTCACTGGCTTACTTTCTTTCTGACAGGCTTCTTGGTGTTTGTGAACTTGTATTGTGTCAAATACGGGGCTATTGCGCTTCAGGAGATTTTTGACAGCATCCAGCCAAAGTAAGTGTATTTTCTATGTTACCACAAGATGTTGACAGAAAGTACACTGCTATCTGGCTGCAGTTAGTTAGTGGATTCATCCATCAGTGTAGTGTTTAGGCAGTGGGGACATGACATGTTCTATTAACCTTAATGCCACAAAAGATTCATAAGATAGCTGTCCTTTTAAAATAGATGGCCAAGGAGGCTACTCTAAGCCCTTTTTTTTAAGCTTGAAAGGTGGCTGATTGTGAAGGATGGAAGCTATAGTCAGCTTAGATTCACAGCTGTTACCATGGATGTCACAGTTAATGGTGAAAAGGGTGTTTCTAAACCACATCCTTCCTTCCTGCAACAATACGTTGGTCCCCAGTTGAGTGGACACAGGTTTATAGATTAGCTTGAATTGGATGATTGCTGACAATTTTGAATGTTTCTTATGACCAGTAGTGACAGAATGCAAATGGGAAGGGAGAAAAGCTTTGCACTGTATTTGGAAGCGAACTGTTTGGAACACAATGCATTTATATACACAATTATGCAGAGTAATAGCTTTCTGAAATGTCACCACCCTGCCTGTAGGACAGTAAATATGTCAAAGTCAACAATATTTCCTGGTACCAGTGCCGTTGCATTTAACGTAAGTGCAGAAGACCATTGGGGAAGTGTACTGTATTAATCATGTTTGCTTTGTTGTGTTGCAGAATGTTTGGTATGGTGTTGGAGAAAATAATTATTCCAGAGGTTCAGAAGGTATCTGGAGCAGTTGAAAAGAAGATCTGTGCTGTTGGCATTACAAAAATCCTCACTGAATGTCCTGCAATGATGGACACAGAGTACACCAAACTCTGGTGAGAAATCAGCCTGAAGGCAACACAACCACTTCATTTCTTGTATTTCTTTCTTACTTGGTTAAAGCACCTGCAGTCACAGGATTCTTCAACCCACACAGATGTTTTCACTTTCTTGATTTGACCTCTAATCCTGACTGTGTGGGCGTGTACAAACTGTGTTTGATTGACATCACCTTAAGCTTTCTGTTGCTGACATCATGTAGTTCCCAGAATAGCCTCACACACCTTTCACCTGAGGAGGGAAATCATCTGTTGTCTAAGACAATGTTGTTTTTCTGATTGATTTAGAATTTTAATATAAATCTTGGACTTGGGGAGTACCAGAGTAGGGAACCCTAATAATTAATTAATTAATTAATACCCTAATTAATAAATGACAATTATTAAATAACATTACAATGTGTAGTCAGAAGCTGACCTGTATTGTCTGTTGTGACAAGTGTAAAACTTTTACAGTGCTGTAAATTTAATGCTTTAGGATCAAGAAAATCGTGAAACTAGCACTTGGCTAAACTTTTCAAACTGGCCAATCAATCTAAACCAACTATCTCAACGTGTTATAAGAAGATGTAAATTAAGATTTTCAACATTACAAACATCTTTTAGACTGCAGAGTTACTTCCAAGTTTGGCAGGCTGGATGTATTGGCACATCTGTAATGGCAATATTGCATACATCTTTTTTATACAGCAGAAATACTCGCATTATATGTACTGAGTTACAAGTGATAATAATAATTTGTTAAACTAACCAGTCATTTGGGTTTGTCTCTGTTCAGGACCCCTCTGCTCCAGGCGCTAATTGGTCTATTTGAGTTGCCAGAAGATGACAGCATCCCAGATGATGAGCACTTCATCGACATTGAAGACACACCAGGCTATCAGACAGCATTCTCGCAACTGGCCTTTGCCGGGAAGAAGGAGCACGACCCCATTGGCGACGTTGTCGGCAACCCAAAAATCCTGCTGGCCCAGTCACTCTACAAGCTTTCTACTGCCTGTCCGGGAAGGGTATGTTGAGACTTGCACGAAATATTTAGCAACTTTTTTTTCAGTTACCTAATATAGAAAATAAAATAAATGCTAATTGAATCCAGAAATCAAATGAGATATCCTTGTCTCACTTCTTTGGTGCAGGTTCCCTCGATGCTGAGCACCAGCCTGAATGCTGAGGCCCTCCAGTTCCTGCAAGGGTACTTACAAGCAGCCACTGTGCAGTTGGTTTGAAACTGATGTGATGGTGTTCACATGATACGGAGATCACGATACACTGCAGGATTAGCCACAGTGACCTCAGGCCACATGACAGACCTGCTTCAGCTGAACATTAGTCTTTACAGATTTGGTTTGACTTGACAGTTCTTGGTGGATTTACCAGAGAAGTGATCATTTTGTCTGAATTTAAGGTGTGTTCCCTGATGGAAGTTTTTTTTAAGGCTTTTTAAAGATATGACCAAAAGTTGACTCAACTGAAATACTGTTTAGTGCTCGGGCTCTTTGTTTGCTGTGTGGCAAAGCTAACAAGGATTTGGAAATCAAGGTCTGATACAATTGTCAGTTTATTTCAATAACCGCAGCATCAGCAGAGGTATATTTCAGCAGTACTGTGGAACACTGAACATCTGAATCATATGAGAGGGATTTCTTTACTGCTTCTTTTGTATGTTTGAATTCCTTTTTACGGTTATGGAGACTAGTCGTGGCTCAAACATAATGCTTAATATTTTTCTGTTGCATGTTTCCCGTAGATTTGTTTATGTTTAGTCTTATGTTATGTTTCTGCACTGTTTGTTAATGTGAATAAAAAGAGGCACTTGTATAGATCTGTTGTCACCGCAGTCTCTTTTCCATTAGCAGTTTTTCTATGAATTTATGTTTGTTAATATTACTTTGGCCTCCAGTATAGAGGCTATTCAATGACTTTATTTTAACTTTCCTTTTCATAAAGCAATCCCTGACTGCCCTTCAGATCCAGTTATGGTTATTTATAACCAGAAATTACACAAGTTACCCTTCAGTCCAGTGCAAAAATAAATATATGGGGCTCTCCCTTCAGATGACAAATGAATGTATTAGGAATATACAGTGTAAGACTTTGGTTGTCTGCATTGGCCCATAATTTAACAAGGTTGTAAGATGGACTGTAGAGAGGGTTCAGGACAATTTGATGTGGCCATTGGAGGTCTTCAGTTCAACGTTCTTGATGAAGGGTAGCATGCATTTGTCACCTCCCATGAAGCGATATGTGGCCACATTTGCGTCCCAAGGTAGAAGTCTAGAGAAGGAAACATTCATTTATTGTCCCAATACTTCTCATCAATGGCCTGAACATTGCATCTGTAGGTGTAACCGCTTATACTGTACATGTCTGACAAATAACCTGATCAGTACTCACGCTCGTGTGAGGAAAGGGATGTACATAAGACGAGGAATGCATATCATTTGCTGTTCGGCTAAAATGGCTTTCATGGATTGCTGTACAGTGTAGAGCGGCTCCAGAGGGGGAATTAGACTCCGAAGCTCCTTCCTGGTAGATATAAACCAAAAATTGGAGAATATGGTATTTTCAAAGCAAAAAAGTTGTGAAATGATGAATGGTGGCATCTCACCTGATTTCACAGCCTGCAAACATCCCTGTGTCTACAATATAAGGGCAGACTAAAGTGGTTTTGATGCCATCCAGGTCCTCCGCTCGCAACTCGTGTGTCAGTGACTCGTGGAAACCGACAGCTCCAAATTTACTGGCACAGTAATCCTGGAGGAAGAAAGTAAATAAGAGCATTTAGTGGATTGTTGTATTCGTCCATTCAGTTTGTAGTTGAGGGATTCATTACTCATGCGTCTTACCTCTACACATGCAGTGCTGAATAGTCCAAGAGCACTGGCAACGGTTACAATGTGACCATGATTCTTTGCTTTCATCTGAGGCAGGAAGGCCTTTGTCATCTGTTAGGGTGGTTTAAATAGATGATATTAGCACCTTTTTTATAGAAATAGAAGAAATGGCCTGTTTAACCTATCAGACCCAGAACTGTGACACCCTGAGGCAAGCTCAAAATCTGCATGGATCACAGTTTGCACTGCCTCATAAAGCTGATATAAGTTATCTCACCAGTCTGGTATGTGAAACGTTTTGTGGGATGGGAATCAGATGAGGACATACCCTTATGTTTATCTACCTATAAACCAAATATGTTGGAATATTTCAACATATCAGCCACTTTATAAACAGCTGATTAGACTTGTACAGAAGTATAATTGTTTATTTTGTCATATAGTTTGCTTTCATTTGCTTATATGAACATGTGTTAAGGAATATGCAGCATAATATCCACTGAGATGACAGTGGCCTGTTTTAATAATTGTCTGTCTTAAAGAGGGACCTTGTGCCAAAATCTTATTTGAGACTGGGGCTGTACAATAAATTGGAATATTAATGAAATTGCAGTATGTCCAAGTGCAATATCCAAATTGCAGAAGGTGCTTTTTGATGAAGCTTAAATGTGTTTCTGCATAATAATGAAGTTGTGTAGTGCTGAAGAGATGCCCTTGGCCTAAAAATCTTGTTTTCCTGGTACAGACCACAACTAATGAAACACCATCATGATTTTAATAGTTTTTTTCAGTAAAAATGAAAATTGTGACACAAAATGATCAATCCCACTAATCATGAATCCTATCACAATTGTAATATCTGTCAAAATAATCACAATATAGATTTTACTATATCATTCAGCCCTATTTGAGGCCATTTAAGCAGAGACAGTGCTCATTAGGTGCAGATTTTTACATTTAAAAGCTGGGGCCATGTAGTATTGGTATACAATACACACGAAGTGGGAGCAACTAGGGTTTAATAACACAATGTATTCCCATTTCCACACACACAGTACAGTGGGGTCTGTGGGAGCTGCCGACTATTCCCAACAGAGAGACATTCTTGCAAGATCAGGTGCATTAGAGTTTTAGAATGAGCTGTCACCGCCCGCCCACTGCACGTCTGATGCTGATATCCTCCATATTTCCTGCTAATGAGCTTACCCCTTTATTGTACCAACATGAGTGAGGCTCTGAGAGGATCATGGGTATAGAATCACATGCTGTCTTAACTGGTGGCCTTTATGGGCTCCTTTTTTTATTCTGGGGATGAGTGGATAAGAGGTTACCGCCAATTTGTAACCTCAACTGAACTTGGACACAGTCACAGGGACATGCTGTAGTGTGTACCGACTCTGCTTCATCTGATCCCTTCACACATCAGTGCGCTAATACTGACCCGAGCCCGGCGGGGAGGACCGCAGTGAATAGATGTTATGTAAGCCGTGTCAGGCTGATCAGATGATGTGAGCTCCGTGTCTAGCGTAAGGGGAGATGGATAGTTTCAATCGTGCGTAAAAGACGCGCGCGTCAAAATCTCACCCAAAACAGCGCGTGGCAGTTCACCAGCAGGGTCCTCTCCAAAAGCTCGTCAGGACAGTCCAGCAGCCTCCTTCCGGCCACCACGCCCGCGTTGTTGACCAGCATAGACACCTCCCCGACCTCCGCTCTCACCTTGGTCGCCGTCTCATAGATGCTGTGACGCTTGGAGAGGTCCACCGTGTACGTGTGCACCTGGACCCCCAGCTCCCGCGCCAGCTCTGCGGTCTGCTCGTTGGCAGCCGTGTTGCAGTCCCAGAGCACCAGCTGCGCCCCCTCTTTGGCAAACTCCAGGGCGAACAGGCGACCCAGCGCGCCCCCGGCCCCCGTTATCAGACAGAGCTCCCCGTCAATGCACTTCAGCCTCGGCCGGAGGAAAGTCTGGAGGACGGCGTTCAGGATGGAGTAGGTTAGGTCGATGAGCATCAGCAGCAGGTCCACTATAAAGATCATGATGCTCCGGTCCGGTCCTGTTCCTCAGGAGATGTTAATGAGCCACACACAGGCTGAGCGCCAAGCTTTGGAGCAGTTGTTTCTCTTTGTGCTTTGGGATTGGATGAGCATTTTATATAACGTGTGTGTGCCGGATTAGGACGCGGACGGATGGTGGCCACCAATAGAAAGGCTGTTTGTCTGATGAGCTGACTGACTAACCCGTGCACATTCATAACTCATTCATAACTCCTTCATAACAGTGGCTGAGTAAGACTGAGGCAGGGATTAAGATAACACTCCAGTGCCAAACCCAGCATATATCACACTGTATGTTTTAATGTATGCATTGAGGGTGGGATGTTTTAATGCATCCTGTGTGATTACTTGAGCAGGTCACATATAACTTATTACATATTTGTTATTTAATCAAGTTTGTTTCTGAGTCAAAAAACTTCAAACCCACCAGCTATTTTTGGACAGCCATACGTTTTTCATGCTTTAAATGGTCTTTATACAGAAGAATACAAAAGACCATACATTTCAGGGGCATCAACTTTTAATGTTCGTTTTCTGCTTGAAGGATGAGCTCACGTTTTTCAATTAATTCTTCTAAATTTATAAAAGGAAAATATACACTTGACTTGTCTGATTCTGCTGCTGTAAGTATAAATAATAATAAAGTATAAAAAATGCCAAACATTACCTAGTTTGTGTAGTAGTGTGTTTTCTCTCTATTTTATATCATTGTAAATTGAATGTCTTTGGGTTGTGGGAATTTTTTCAGTATTTTCTGATACTTACTACTACTACTACCAAACAATCGATTAATTGGTAAAATAATTTTTAGTCTCAGCCTTAAAATTAAATAAATTAATGATAAAATTAAACTATTCCCCATTTTGCTGGTCCCTGTAGAATCATCACTCACCACACTTTCTTAGACCCTATGAACTACATTTATCACCTTTTAATCCAAGCTATAAAGCGATAATCTTGTTTTACTCTTTTATTTTTACAAACTTAAAGCTACATTTGTTAATATGAATGTGTGGAGTGAGTACTTTAATATTTCTGTTTTTATTTAATACAGAACGTAACACTGGAGGGTGCTGTTGTATAAAATCTGCAGCCTCCATCTGCAAACAACAAGTTCAGTCATTGCACAATCTCGCCGCTCGCTCTCATGTAATGTATTAATTCAGAGGTTTCATAAAAACAAATTTCACTTAATAAAGTGAGGCTCGTAGCACCAAACACTTTATTGTTGTCTTTTATTAAGCATCAGACAGTAAAAGGAGAAAATTGCTTCAAAATTGCAGATCATAGACATTTTCCTATAGCTTCTCAGATGATATTTACAAGTTCTGTGTGTCAAAGTTTAATAGCGCTACATGCGTTGAACAACAGGAAACCACAAAGATAATATTCTACAAAGTCAACTGGTACAAAGTATGAAACTTTACAAAACAAACATTTCCCCAGACACAGTAAGGGCAGCATACAGACCTGTGTGAGTTAAACAGAGGTGATCAATTCCCTGAAGAAGGGGGAAGATTTGGAAAATTATATTACCATGTCCGTATTTGGCTTAAACCTCTAGTGTGGCATATTGTTCTTAAAGAAAAGGACAAAGGATGACATTATTATAGCTTGTGCTTTTGGAAATTGTACTGGAACCAATGAGTACCTTTGTATGTTGACATTTTTATTTGCATGGTCCCTAGACAGCAGATGATTTAATATAGAGAAATCAATAAAGTGCAGTTGAGAAAACAAGAAAGAAAAGATATAAAAAGCAATAAAGACATTGTTAACATTCCCAGGAAAGATTTGTAACCATTTAAAATAGTCCATGGAAGTAAGTCCATTGTGAGGAGAGGCTTAACTCCAAACATTTGTCAGTATTTACTGCATGTCTGACTGTTGTGTGATGAATGTTAATGAATCTTCACTGTGTAAGACACCCTCCCTTTTTATCTTTCTAGTCTTTTCTTCTGTTTCTAACGCCTTGACAAGTGAAAGTTATATCACCATTTGTCAGTTTGACATTTTGATGCAGGGCCGGGCTGCAACAGATCCTACACACTAGTGACTGTATATTTTCTCTTTTGTCAGACTATTTTGTCAAGTTTCTTCCTCAGAACTTCATGACACCGTCTGACCAAAGACATTGCTGTAACTGAGCCTTTCCTGCTGGCCCAGACCCTCCCTTTGCATGCCCGGGATGGTATTTATAGAATCACAGAAATGAACACATCCTCAACTGCCATTTTTGCATTGTCATTCTGCACAAAAGACTCAAGCACGAGGCTGGTCCTTGTAATGGAAAAACACACGAGTGCTCTGTGCATAATCTGCATCTCTGTGACAGAATATGATGGCAATTGTCCTACCCAAGGGGATGCTTCACCTCCTAAACAAACTAAATAGAGCTGAGACAGCTTGCACATAGTGATGTTTTGAATGATCGTATTGTCTGTGTTAAAGACTTGAAGTTGGACATGCAGTGAAGGAGCAAAGTGCTACAGCCATCGTTAGGGATGTCAGTTGTAATCGGGCTGACAGCTCTGCTGCACAGCTCTCTCTGTCACTCACCACTTGTTCCTATTCCATTCACATTTCACACTTTCTCCCTCCATGGGAGAAGGTGGCTGAGGTGAACATACACATCATAGCAACAGCACCTTAGTTTCAGGCGCACATTGCTGTGGTCATGCACTGTCTTGCTGAGACGGGTGCATGTTTCTATTAAAAAAGAGAGCGAAATAAAGGGATGATAATTTGAAAAGGCCCACAATCAAGTTTTCTGTTTACCTAATTTCTTCAATAATTCAGTCTTCAGCAGACTGAGGCCACAGGTGAGGAGGGACAAACATAGATGAATGAATGACGGAATGACTCCATGAAGAGAATGCAAACGCTGTTATATTACCTATATTTGAGTCTTTAAGGACTTCATCTGTACAAATTAGGCTCCTTGCTCGCATCAACTGTGAGCCATCCAGTCATCTCAAGCATCACCATGGAAACAGTGGTTGTTCACTCTGTTGAGTGAGTCGGCATCTGTTTGTTTTTTGTGGATTGGGCCTTTTTCATGTAAATGTTCGGTGCATTTAATGTAGCTGCACGGGAGACACATTACAGGGAGAGTTGTGGATATCTAATATAGCAGTCTGAGAGATTGATGACCCAGTTCTCTGCGTGTTTATTTGCTGTACAGTTTGTTTAAGTGTCATTCGGGCTCGATTAGACAGGGTTCAGTGACAGATTCAGTATGCAGGGCAGGCGTTAGTTAAAAGCAAAGGCACAGAAATATCTAATTCATATTATGTCTAATGCTTGCCAACAACCATACAGAGTAAATACTACTTTTTTTAAGCATAAAGATTCACTACTAAAAATAGATGATTTCTAGCATGCTTGCATGATATGTTGTAAAGTTAATAAGGGTTCCATGCTTGCGTGATTAATGTAACAAAGAGCACGAGAGCACCTGATGAACAACAGATTGGTCATATGTCTGGAGTCAGGTGCTTACGAAAAAGCAGGCTGCAGGATATTTGGTTGAACTAAAGTGGCCTACAGACACACAAGATACCGCCATGCTGTTTGTGTGCTTGAGAGGCGAGTGGTACGTAGCTGCGAGGTGGCTTTACGTCTGTAAGAGATGTCATGTGAACTCATATGAGCATAATGTTTTGGATTTCTGAAAGCGAACCACTTGCCAAGATCCATAGTGTGTAAATAATCAAATTGTCTTTTGAAACGGATGTAAAATAAAGTGCTGTGTTGTCTCTTCATTTTCCTTCTTTCCTCTCTCTTCTTTTCCCGTCAACAGCTTTCTTCTTCTGAGGCCAGTCCTCTCATCTGTGCATTCTCTAGCTTACATGTTTTTGCCGAATGAGCAAGTATGGCTCCCTGAAATATATCAGATTCTGCTGTTTAGAAAAGGAATGCTTACATTTCTAACATTTAGAAATAAAACAGTAAAACTTACTATCATCTGTTAGAGTTTTCAGAAAGAGCAGTTCTTTGGTTCTTCACATTGCACAAAGGATAGAGGAACAGACATGTACAGTGTGACAGTAGCAAACAACACAAATTTATCTACTACAGTATATTGTCTAATAAATGCAACTCCATCAAAATAATGCAGTACATACATCGTAATGCAAAAGTATGAGATTAGTACAATATATTTGTCTAGCAGAGTCCATTATTTTAGAAAATATCTTAAAAATATAAATTATTTTGATACTTTACCTTGTACAATAAATGTGTTTTCTTGTTATATTCTACTTTTGTAGTTATACATGTACAATATTCACACTCCTACAAAACCAGAGGTTCAACATAGAAAATCTTTGTGATTTTCAATGCTGTCTGTCCAGCTATAGTGATGCTCATAAGCACTGTCATTTTTTATGAAGTTCAGATTATCAGCTACAATAGGAATGATGACTCCTTCAAAACTCCTTTGAGAAAGTTTTGAAATAACACAAGACTTTTGTTTGACTTTCTCCAGATTCAAACTGTGTACACCAATCTGAGGAACACACAAAGACATTTAAGAAACAATCAAAATAAGTAAACAAACAAGAATAAAGAGTTGTTCATAATAAAAATAATTATCATGTTAAGGTGCTCTCTCTTGCCAGCAGTTGGGCACAATGGGAACAAGAAGGAAATCGATGGATGCAGCCTCACAGTGTCTCTCTGTGTTGTCGAAATGTATTCTGTGCAGTAAAAAATATCGACGAGCAAGACACTAAACTCCTGTGGAACAGAAACAGACTGACACACTTGATTCTTCTCTAGTTCACACTTAAGACAAGAGACCAATAACGCTACATAACAATAAATATACTGTATATGAAAGATGATCATTGTACACACTTATATATGTGCTGTCTATCTGTCTGTCTGTCTAACTCTCTCATACAAACACAAACATAAAACATGGGTAACAACATAAACTAAGGCCAGTTTTGAGGAAGGAAGTTAAAGGAAGCAAACTATACATTTTTCCACACTGTTGCCTCTGTAATGTCATAATTACACATCGATAACCATGACTTAAAGAAAAATGTAAGTTCCCCCTTCACACTACAACATAGTTGTTTGGACTATCTCAGCTGAATGAGTCTCCCACTTTGCAGTACCATGTTTCAGTGCCCTCTGTGGTTTGCTACTGTTTGGACAGCTTTTGCTATAGTGGCTTTAAAGTGGTATCCAGGGTCAGAAAAATAGGTTTTTGCTTATAAAAAATTATATTTTGTACTCTTAAAACTAGGCTGTAATTATTAGATGATAATCTGGGCTAAAACAAA